ATAATTGAAACCAAAGCACAAAAAATTGTAAATCTACAACTTTAAAAAAAATAAAATAAAATAAAGGGAAAAAAAAATGAGTTTTTTGGGGACCAGAGAGATAGTACAGTGGGTAGGGAAATGCCTTTTATGCAGTCGGCCCAGGTTCTATCCCCAGCATTCCATATGGTACCCCGAGCTCACCAAGAGTGATTCCTGAATATAAATACAACCCCCACCCCCACCCCCCCCCCCACACACCAAAATGTCTCTGCAGGGCCAGAAAGGCAGTACAAGATTTGTCTTGCAGTCAACAAGGCACTCTATGTGGTTCCTCTGAGCACAGTCAGGGACTATTCTTGAGCATAGTGACAGGACTCTCCCCTGAGCATAGTTAAGTTAAACAAACAAAAATCAAAGAAAAATTTTTTGTTTGTCATTTGAATCACACACACACACGGCACACACACACATACACACACACACGTAAAATGCTAAGTTCATTCATTTGAATTGGGTGAGGGAGGAGACAGATTTGGGTCTCATCCAGCAGCATTCCGAGGATATCCCTGGCTCTGTGCTCAGGGGTCACTAATGAAAAGTAGCACCAGAGATCTAACCTGGGTTGCCTCCAGCATGCAAGGAAAGTACCTCAACACCTGTACTACCTCTATCTTCCTAGCTCATCAATTTTAAATGATCATTTCCACACTAATTTAAAGTGATTCTCTTTTTTTATCTTTAGAATTTCCTTGAGTCTCTCTCTTATACCAGCTCCCTATATGCAGTAGGATCAGCCACATCTTTCTATAAACACAAATATGAATCACCACGGCTCTTTTTTGTCTGATTCTGCTTTTCATTCTTAGAAATGGATGAAAACATTTTCTAAGCCAGTGGGGTTTAACTCTGTCTACAAATCAGAAATACTTATACAAACAAAAAACAACCAAAAACTCAGGCCCAAGGACCCAGCCAGGGCAAGTCTGAATTTCCAGGGCTGGTCCCAAGCAATCCGGATCTTTTCTGCAAGTTCTTCTGGTGGCTCTGATGTGCAAAGTGGACAGTCAACACTCTTTCTTGCACAGACAACTTCGGGGCACATGAATCAATACCACAGTGATGAGAGGAGAATCACAGCATGACAAAATGGAGCCCAGATCTAAAGCTTTCTATAGTTAATTCACAGAGCAAAACTTGTCCCTTTAGGGATTTAGCTGACTTGAATATTATATTATGTAACTGGGCATAGTTATTACTTTGGACCGGTGTTGCCCAGAGTGAGTGACGTTGTCATCCCTGTCCCCAGTGATGTTGTCACTGTAAAGATCCAGGGGGAGCATAGTTGCCTCAGATGCAACTGGGGGATGCTATTTGCTCACTTAAAGAAAGGAGGGTTCCAGCTACTGAGTGACTTTATTTTTCTGAAAAAGGGCAGGGTCACTCAAACTACTTTGGGAATCTTTGCATCAGACGACAAGGACACTATTCCAAAATATAAATGAGGGGTGAAGAAATAGCTCAAGTTGTTAAATATGTCTTGCTTGCGTGAGACCCTGAGTGAGATTACCCAAATGCACAGGGCCCTCCCAGACACCTCAGCGCCACTTGGTGTGACCCTGCCTTCCCCACCCTCCAATCCCCAGCACCACTAGGTGTAGTGTGCCTGTGTGCATGGATGCACACACATACCCACACACACACACACACACACACACACACACACACACTGAACTTGAAAGTATTTTAAAGAAATTATTAGCAAAATCCACATTTATTCATACTTCTTTAGTATTCAATGACTTAAAAAGTTATTTAGCAATATCTGTTTGTTAATGCAAACCCGGGGATCCTTGTTCTCTCTCTCTCTCTCTCTCTCTCTCTCTCTCTCTCACCTCCCCACACACACCTTGCAGTGCTCAGGGGGGTTACTCCTGGCTCTGCACTCAGGAATTACTCCTGGCGCTCCTCAGGGAACCATGTGAGATGCCAGGGATTGAACCCGGACCAGTGGCATGCAAAACAAATGCCCTACTGTATTATCACTTCAGTCCCTCCTTGCTCTTTTTCAAAGAAAAGATTACCTAAAAAAGATTTTCTGTGGAAGTGGGTTTGAGAAGGTTAAGATGACTAGGATTTATGACACCATAAAGAAGAATTCTAGACATTCTGCTGAAGGACTGAGTTGGGGTGCCTGAATCTCTTCCCTGAGAAGGAAAGGAAGTTAAAGGAAAGATGCAGTGACGTGGGCAAGGGCCCTTGTGGAAACATTCTGTTTATGCGTTGGGTTCCAGGCACAATATTTTGGTTAGGCTAATTTTTTTTAATCCCTAATTGCTTTCAGGAACTTCCAAACTGAGTATTTAAATGACCCAAAGTAGAAAGGTGACTCTGAAAGGACAAAAATTCCCTGAAAATGGGAAAATACGACCATAGTTTGGAAAAGAGACAAAGTGGTTTGGTGAGAAAACTAGGACTAGCTGGCTGGGATAGCACTTCCTATGTCCCGTTAAAAGAAACACATCCTTCTCTGGTTCTGTCCTGAAGACCAATGAGATGTTATTTGGTTTGGCTACTTCTTTGAAACGGTTGTTCTCAGGATCAAAACTGGCACTGAGAAAGGTAATTATTTTTAAAATATTTTTGGGCCACACCCAGCAGTGCTCAGGGCTTACTTCTGGCTCTGCACTCAGGGACCATCGTGGTGGGGCTCAGGGGACCATGTGGGGTGTCATGCATGCTACAGACCTGGGTTCAATTCCCAGCACCCCAGAGCCAGGAATAATACCAATGCACTACAGCTTGTGGCCTCCAAAACAAAATCAAAAAAACCCTATGTCCTAATAATTCTAATTTACTTTTTTTCTGCCAGATCTTTCAAAATTACTTGGAAAGCAAGCAGACTTTTTGAGGATAGTTATGTTTTTTTTCTTTCTTTTTTTGTTTTGGCTTTTTGGATCACACCCGGTGATGCTCAGGGGTTATTCCTGGCTCGGCACTCGGGAATTACTCCTGGCAGTGCTCGGAGGACCATATGGGATGCTGGGAATCGAACCCAGGTTGGCCGCGTGCAAGGCAAACACCTTACCTGCTGTGCTATTGCTCCAGCCCCAGATAGTTATAATTTCTTAATGTCTTGATTAGGTATCAGTGATTTATTGGCAAATGTGTACATAATTTGGTAGTGCCTGAATCACTGTCTTAAACAAATCAACAATGTTTCACAATCAGTTACACCTCTTAATAATAAAGTATGATATAATTTATAAATAACTGTTAATGTATGGTCCCTTTTATATTGATAGTTCAATCCTGATAAATAGTAATGCGTTGAAACCCTGGAATTTCTTTTGAAACCCTTGAGCTTTATTAATACAGCTTAACTTGACAACACTTGTCTCTAAGGCAGCACTGCTTCTTCAAGACTTGATGCTTATCTAAATTCTGTGGGCTTAAATTTCTTTTTCCCCATTTACTACTTATGTTTTCCTCTTAATGTAAATGAATATTCGTTTGTCAGTAGGAGCAGTTTTATAAGAAGGGAGTCCTATTTTAAAAAATAATTCTTTTTGCTATAATTTACCACATTTTCTGTTTGGAAGACAAGACCACATGTTTTCTGCAGAGACGTGGTAAGCTTGTTTTAAATGCTTCAAAAATACTGATACAGCAATCGTCTTTCTTTTGGATTAATATGTCACATTTCATAAAAGTTTTCCTGCACAAACAAGATCTTTTCCCTTTGGACTGTTCTCCTGATTGAGCTCCGAACGGAGTATGGGCCAGGCAATAACTTTAAAGAAGATGCTCATCTTAGTTCAGCAGCAAGGACGTAAAAAAGTCCAAGAGAAGAAGAGGAGAAAAAAACAGAAAAGCAAATCCTTCTTGCAGGGGCTGGAGCGATAGTACAGCAGGTAAGGCGCTTGCCTAGCACGCCGCTGACATCATCAGCATCCCATAAGCATCCCGAGCACCGCGAGGAGTGATTCCTGCTCTCAGAGCCAGGAGTAAACCTTGAGCACTGCCAGGAGTGGCTTCCCCCTCAAAAAAAAAAAAAATCTTCCTTGCATGCAGAACCAGGTGCACTACAAACCTCAACTAGTTCACATGCTAAGGACACTGCTTTTTATAAGTTTTTCCTCCACTGGGACATTCCCTCTCTCTCTGCCCTCTATCCCTCAAGTTCTCACCACGTTTTTTTTTTTTAATTTTTTCATCCCTTTTTGGCTTGTGAGACGTAAAAAAGTTACCAGGGAAGGACAAATCGGTATATCTCACAGAGGGTTTTCTATTTTAAGATTTTTACCGTTCTCCAGATGGCTCCTGACTTGTCCCTAGACACGCACCAAGTCCCCAGTCTCCCCCGCGCAGACCTGTCTGAGAAACCGTTTCCTGAAATCTAGGAGTCCTGGGCCCCGCCTTAAATGAACTGCAAAGAATTTCGCACTCGATTTCCCTGTCCAGCGTCCAGTGCTCTTCCCTCGGACCCCAAGTTCAAGAATTCTCTGCCAACGCCCCCCCCCCCCCCCCAGCCGCCGGCTAGCGCTCCTTAGGCTAGTTGCTGCGTGGCCAGTGGGGATGGGAATGGGCCGCGCGGGGGAGGAGGTGCAGCCCCGCCGCCCCGTGGACTCGTGCCAACCCGGGAAAAGTTAACTTTCTCCAAACCGTGCCGGAGGCGTGCAACCTGGCTGGGTCAAGCCCTCCCTGTCTGACACCGAGCGAGACGCGCGCGTCGAACAAGAACGAAAGAATCAAAGTGAGCCTCCGGGTCCCCGAGGTCATCCTCGCCTCCCCGGGCGCGACCGCCCGGTCCCTCCACACCCACCACCAGGACCAGAGCCGCAGGGCGCCTCCGAGCCCTCGCTCCCGGTCGGAGTCCCGCGAGCCAGCACCGCGCGCTCCGGGGGGCCGGCACCCAGGAGCATCCTCCCTCTCTCCCCCCAAAACCTCCCCAAACTTCAAGCCCTCCCATCCGCGGGACGCAGGGGGCGAGGGGCCTCCCGGGCGCCGGACGTCCTTACCTTGGGGTTGGTGAGCAGCTGGTGCTCGTCGCTGTGCAGCAGCGCCCTGGAGTTGGACTCGGAGTTGTTGACGTAGACCTGGACGCAGGGGTACTGCGCGGTGCCGCGGCAGTCGGCGCCACAGGTGAAGGTGCACTCGAACACCTCTGCGATCTGCTGCACCGACAGCACCGTGCAGTTGGCCGCCGTGGCTTGCAGATCCTGCAGCGCGGGACTGAGCCAGCAGAAGCCGAAGATGAAGAGCGACACGATGCCGGAGATGATGAGGAACAAGCCGAGCCGGATGCTCTTGTCCTCGGCTTCCGTGTACTCGTAAGTCACCCGGAGCTTCGCCATCGCCCCCCGCTCCCGGCGGCTGGCGCGCTCCCCCCGCCCCCGCCCCCGCCCGCCCCCGGCGCCGCGCCCCGCCGCCGCCGCCGCCGCCGCCGCCGCGCGCGACAGCAGGGGAGTGGGCGGCGAGGGGGAGCGCGAGAACAAAGGGGCCGAGGCTGGCGGCGGCGGCGGCGGCGGCGGCGGCGCCCCCCACCCGCGGCCCGGCCCCGCCGCCGCCCGGGCCCGGGAGGCTCGCGGCGCGGCCGCCGCTTCACAGCCGCCCGCACCCCGGGGCGCCCAGAGCGCTCGGGCGGCTCCTGCCTCCAGCGCCCCGCGCCTGCCCCCGCCCCCGCGCTCTCCCCGCCTCCCCCACCCCGCCTCCTCGCGCCGGGCGGCTCCCCGTCCCCATCGCCCGCCCGCCGCGCCTCTGCCGCGCACCCGAGTGGCGGGGCGAGAGTCGCCGGGGGCTCCCCGCCGCACCCGCGGCTCCGCCCCGCCGCGCCCGCCGCCGACCCGGGCGCTCCCGCCCCGCCCCGCTCCGCCCCGCCCCGCCCGGGGGCGGCTCCCGGGGGCGCGGGGTCCCGCGGAACTCCCCGGGTGGGACGCCCGCGAGGCGCCTCGCCAACGGAGGGAAAGTTAAAATAATAATAATTTTTAAGGGATTTTTTTGTTGTTGTTGATGTTTTTTCGTTTAAAGAAGGAGAGGGAGGAGCGCGGCTGCAGCGGCGGGAATCTTGAACTCCAAACGGGGATGGGTCAGCCGGCGGCAGGGCAGCCGCGATCCCGGGGAACCGGACCCCCGAGGTGGGGTGGGACGACGCGGCACTACCGGGGGGAGGACTGGGCGGGATGGTTCCGAGGGGCTGCGGGCGCCGGGGCGCGCCCCCCGAGACCGCGCTGCCAGTTCCCACGGCGGAGGACTGGCTCGCGCGCTCCTGACCCCGGGACCAGCGCTGTAGCGGTCCAGCCGCCGGGGCCCGACCCTCACTGAAGCCTCGGCGCAGACCTGGACCCCCAGACTCGGCCGGGGCGTCCGCGAGGGCCGCGGGGGAGGCGTGGAACGGGCTGGGTCAGGAGTCGACGCTGGAGGCCACGCGAGTAGGAAATGGAAACGGTGACCTCCAAGACCCCGGACACTTGATGCCAGGGTTTTGGGTGGACCTCGCGGACACATAGGTCTCGGGCAATAGAGGCGACTCCAACGCTAACGGATTAGGACCCAAGCAAACGGAGAAGAGAAGCTGTCAGCTCTGAAGGAGACCTCGTGACCGTCCCCAGCTAGCGGAGTCCCGAGCACATCTTTCAGTTCTCCCCGGGAGTGTCATCGCCCTGGGCCCGCCCCTCTTATTCCCAGGAGCGCTGCGTAAGGAGACAGCGGCGCGCACACCCGCTTTGGGACAGCTATCATTTCTCGAGCTGCGATCTGCTGTCTTAATTCTCCATTCCTTCTCCTCTCCATAAATTCAACCTCTAATTTCTTTTCGTGACTTTTTAAGTTAAGCTCGTCTTCTCCCAGGGCTGGAGAGATCCCATAGCGGACAGGGCGCTTTCCTTGCACGCTACCTACCAGGGTTCGATCTCAGGCATCCCATATTGTTTCCCAAGCAACTTCAGGAATGATTTCAGAGCGCAGTCAGGAATTGGCCCTGAGCATCACCGGGTGTGTCCCCAAGCCCCCCACCCCCATTCCCCGCCACACATCTTCAAAGATTTGTCTTTTCTTAAGCCACACTTCTGTCGTATCAAACTTGAGAAAAAAAATCAGACCTAGATTTGGAAAAATCAATGTTCACTTTCTTTTTGGTAAAATATATAAACATCTTTTTCTTGGTTTGGGAGTGCCAAGTGAATATACTCCTTATAAAATTAATTTTCTTGAAGAACCTGGAAACACCAAATCATTGAATTCTTAACTTAAAATATTATTTTTTGGATTTTAGATGTTATTTAACTGATACTATCTTTGAGTTGCAATTTTGATATGCTCCTTTGATGCACTGCATTCCTGTCTATGATAGCTAAAGTATTTCAGAGCAAGCAGTAAATCAGATTTAATTGTAGGACGCTTAGGGCTTGAGAAACTTCCAAGTCAGAAAGACACTTTGTGCTTTCAGTATCTTGCAAGTTTTGAAAGTAGATCTACTTTCTTCACGCAGAGATATGATTTTCTTCTTTTTGTTGATTTGCAAACAGTTACTAATTTCATGAAAAGTGAGTTTAAACAATGAAACACTTAAACTAAGATCACAGCTCTTCACTCTTAAATCTTTTTCCTATTGTATATTGTAGTCATACTTTTCAAGAACTACAAAGCCTGATCTAAGATCCTAGTCAGTGGCGAGCAAAGAACAAGACTTGGTTATTCTACTTGATAAACTGAACAACTTACCCTTGAGGCAGAACTATTAGGGTTCTGAGAACACAGGAATAGGGGTGTATAGTGATTCATTTTTTCAAAGATTCCTGAGCATAAGTACCCTCTGCCTCAAAACTGAAGCAAAAATGATCTTTAAAATCTCGAGAGAACAACTATCAAAATTTTTTTGACTTAATTTAACCTAAACTCTTAAGGACTTTAAATTGTTTTTCCAAGTTCTGTAGACAGTCACATCCTTTCCTTGTAGTTATTCTTATGATAGTGGAAAAAACTTGCACTTAGTCTCCTACCTACTTTTAAACATTTTCTTTTGTCTTTCACTTTCTATTTTTCACTTAGCATGCATCAATTCTGAACTCTTTAGCTTTTTTTTCCCTTATTGACAAATAAAATATATCAAAAGAGTTCACTAATTTAGTCAATTTTTATCTTTATTGAAACACTGTAATATATTAAGTTCAGTTTCTTGAAATGGAGGGGTTGGTATAGCTGGTAGAACGGTCCTTTGCCTTGCACATGGCCAACCTGGGTTCAATACTTGGTGCCCCATATAATCTCCCTGAGTCTACCAGGAGTGATCCCTGAGCAGCACCAGGTGTAGCCCTAATATAAAAACAAAAAAATTCTTGAGATGGGGCTGCTTTATTATACTCCCAATTGGGTGAGCCAGCCTCACAATTTCATCAATAGGTCACCACTGGCTTTCTAAGTCAGAACAATAAAGAGTATTTTGGGGCATCTCAGAGATATTTAGCTCTGAGATTCAGAACCATCTTCTGTTTCCTGTGAAGGTCAGAGGCATCACAGAAAAAGCAGCCTATCTTCGGGCTGGAGCGATAGCACAGTGGGTAGGGTGCTTACCTTGCATGTGGCAACCTGGGTTCTATCCCCGGCCCCCCTTATGGTCCCCAGAGCACCTTTAGGAGTAACCCCTAATCCCTAAACACTGTCAGGTGTAGCCCAAAAACCAAAAGAAGAAAATAGCTTGCCTTTCTTCTCTTTTGCATAGTTTGATCAACTAAGATCCAAACTGTAATGTTCAGAACTATATTGAGTTATTTGATGTGCATTATTGTCTACAGTAATATTTTCAGGAAAATCTAAGAGCCCAAGTTCCATTTAGAAGAAAAATCAACCCTAGCTAAACAAATTAAAAATTTGTTTTAATAACCAGTATTCCTCAAGAAAGCTTGTGACTGATATGTCAAGTTACAAAATACAAGTTCACATGTAAATATACATGTATTAAGCGATTCTAAAAAAGAATTGGCTTTGGGATTCTAGGAATAGAAGGAAATTTAAAGCATATGGGGAAATATAAACTTAAATATTGTTACTGTAATTGTTCAATAACTGCTACTATACACGGCACCTAAAATACATAGGTGAGGAAATAGTGTGTTTCCATTGCTCCTTAAAAAAATGACATTGTTTGCAATTAGAAAAACTAGATAGCAAAGCGGGTAGGGAGTTTGCCTTGCACGCAGCCGACCTGAGTTCAATTCCTCCGCCCCTCTCAGAGAGCCCGGCAAGCTACCGAGAATATCTGCCCACCCACCCTCCCCCAGCATAGCCTGGCAAGCTACCCGTGACATATTTGATATGCCAAACACAGTAACAACAAGTCTCACGATGGAGACGTTACTGGGCCCGCTCGAGCAAATTGATGAATGGGAGGACAGTGTTACAGTAAGAACATGAAAGTATGTTTCTACAAATCCCTCCCCCATGTTTTTATTTCAATTTATATGACAGCAGATTGTTATCACAGAAAATTACTTTTTATTCGTTCTTGAAAGTGTTCATATTAATTCCCAGCTGGTTGCTATCAAGAAACTTTTTATACCCTGCTTCATTGTAACTGTTAGATATTTGTTGAGTCTGAGAATTCTGAATTCAAAATAAATTTCGTCTGTGATTACTATTTTTTAATTAATTTTTCTATGTCTACAGTTTATTTTTTGATTGAATATTAACATTTCTAGATATTTCTAACCAATAAGACAAAGAGACTTTAAATATCATGTAGTTCAATGTTAATCAGTAAAATACCAAAACTTTACACTTTAATAGGAAAAAATAATTATTAAAAATAATTTTTAGGGAGCTGGAGAGATAGCACAGTGGGTAGGGCTTTTGCCTTGCACGCGGCCGACCCGGGTTCGATTCCCAGCATCCCATATGGTCCCCTGAGCACCTCCAGGAGTAACTCCTGAATGCAAAGCCAGAAGTAACCCCTGTGCATCGCCAGGTGTGACCCAAAAAGCTAAATAAATAAATAAATAAAAATTTAGGGCTGGAGCAGTAGCAGCAGCTAAAACACTTGCCTTGCATGCAGCTGAACCGAATTCAATCCTCAGCCCCACCAGGAGTAATTTCTGAGCACAGTGCCAGGAATAATCCCTGAGCACTGCTGGGTTGAAAAGCCCCCCCCCAAAAAAAAATCAAAAGAATTTTTTAGAGCTTGATTTATAGTACTAGGGGTAAGGCGTTTTGCCTTGTGTGCAGCCAACTCCAGTTTTCCCCCCCAGAACCACATAAATCCCCTGAGCACCAATTACCCCCCTTCCCCACACACCTGACCTTGGAATGTTTGTGTGTGTGTGTGTGTGTACATATTCCTCAGAAGTTGGAATCTGGGGGTGAGAGAGATAGTACAGCATGTAAGGCTCTTGCCTTGCAATGCAACTGACCTCTGTTCCATCCCCAGAACCCTCT